CTAAACCCGAAAAGTCCTAAACCCTAAACCCTAAACTCTAAAACTCTAAACCCTAAACTAAACTCTAAATCCAAAACCCAAAACCCTAAACCCCTAAACCCTAAACCGTAAACCGGCCTTAGCTGCAGATTTGGCGGCTGCTGGCTTCTTGAGGATCTCCTGCAGACAGCTGCCACGAACTGGGGCCCTCAAAGCACTCGGCAGAAAATTTGTGGCCTTAAAAATTAGAATAGGGTTCTGGGCTCCTTTACAGTATACATTTTATAGTAATATAAGATATTAAGATATTAGATGATAAGGAGCCCCCAAAATCATAGTGGCAATTATTGAGGCTTCTACATAACAAACGCTTGCGATTTAGGGCTGGGCGACCAGGGTACCCCTGCATAGCCCAAACGTCCTCGAACCTTTCTCTCTCTAAATCCTGAGAAATCCTTAGAGCCACAACCCGAAAGTCTCAAACCCGAAACCATAAAAGCCCTTCATCCCTTAAGCTCTCTTCAACAGCCTTAGCACCATCGCCAGCCCTACCAAACCCTGCGAAAAGCCCCAAACACACGAGCCCCTGAACTTGCTCCTCCTCCGCTTCTTCTGCTTCTTCCACCTCCATGTCCTCGGGCGCTTCCTCTGCAGGCTCCTCCAGAGGCTCCCCTCAACACCCCGCTAAGATTGCGGGAGTTCTTGAAGCGGTGAAGGGTTTAGGGTTTGTGGGTTTCGTAGACAGGATCCATCAGGGCCCTTAAGGGTTGCATTCGAGCCTTCAGGGTCTGTTGCTTTGGGGATTTGGGGCTTAGAGTCTTGGCTTTAAAAGGCGCTGGGGGCTTCTTCAACACGAGACCTCTAAAAATACCCCCAAACCCCTGAAACCCTGAACCCCTAAACCTGAACCCCCAACACCGGAACCCTAAACCCCTAAACTCCTATACTGCTACAGAGCCCCTATAGAACCTTACTTACTATCGTAAGCCTTATAGATCCTTGAAGACATGGGACGCCGGGGCGTCAGTGTCGAACCCCCCACGACCAAAAACACGAAAACCTCTCTAGAAGCTTCATGAAATCTTGAGAGGCACCCTTTTGCCCTATAAGGGTCCATGTACTCATATAGCATATACATGGGCCCTAAAGTACCTATATAGGGACTACATTAAGGCCAATGTATATACTATATGAGCACATGGACCCTTTGGGTTGGGATGCTTAGAATCTTAGAATTTCACCCGGAAAGCCCTGCACAGCAGCCCCTTTCCGGAATTTTTCGGGAAACCTCTCCTCTGGCTCCTCCTCTGGAGGCGCGCTAGCCTAGGGATATGCGGGCGTTGAGAGAGTAGAACAGGGATCGGGCATATAGTACCGTAATCACTAGAGTATGGCAATATTATTCGGGGCAGAAAGGGATAGTCTGCATGCACTCTTCGAAGCTTTATGCCTTTCTGCGATTGGGGGATCCAGAGTTAAGAAGGTTTCAGAGCAAGGACAAACCCAAAACACAAAGCCATCACACCGTCCGAATCAAAAGCCTTCCCAAACCCTAGGCAGACAAGGATCAAGGAGTTTGGGAATGAGGGGTCGGAGCTCTAGAACCGGAATCTTTCTAGAAACCCATTTTCGGAAGCTTCGCGCCTAAGTCTGACGATCCGTCGTTTAGCTTTGCAGTGACGGAACTCTCGGGGTTTAGGGTTTAGGGCTTCTGGGTCTAGGGTTTAGGGTTTAGGGATTAGGGTTTAGGGTTTAGGGTTTAGGGTTTAGGGTCTAGGGTTTATGGTTTTCCCGACCGCGGCAAACTAAATTCCGAGCTTCCCTTGCAAGACCTTTTCGAATCAATCCCTCGACCTGCCCCTGTGTCTCAAGGCGATGCCAGCATGTTGCGGAGATCACGTTTCAGGAAGTTGAGTCTAGGTTCAGTTGCAGCACTTCTTGTTCAAACCTTGTTGTCGGAATCTGCCCTCCCAACCATGCCGTTCATATATGCAACTTGTCCTACCTCCCTCGTCACCAGTTCGCCTCAAAACGAGTTAATACAATGCATGTATTGGATGATGCTTCAGGAAATGTCATGGAATGTTGTCAGAAGGCCCGATGTCTGCATCGTTGATCTAGGCCATGTGCCGATGAACATGCTTCTTCGAGCCTATGCCGGCGAAATAAACAGAATCCTAAACCCCGAAACCCTAAACACCACCGACAGCAAACTAAACACCCTAACATCCAATCTCGAAACCCCGACTTGAACGAAAGCATCGCATCCAAGGGCCCGGCTGCCTTTGCTTTCGCCTTAGGCTGCCGCCTAGGTCAGGCAGAAGCTGAACGCCGGATCCCGAGGGTTTCGGGTTTTGGGGTTTGGGGTTTAGGGTTTAGGTGCCTTCCCAGATGTTCTTAAACAATCCGGACTGTTTGACACAACCATCCGAAACAAGTTAAAGCAATGTTTTGGAGACAACCCAAGCCGACGCTAAGGGATGAGTATACTTTATCTCCCGGAGCCCTTGAGCCCCACCCCCGGTCTCTTGAACCCTTTGACGCCGAAACTTGGGTTTCGACTTTAGATTTGGGGTTGAGAGGTTCGGGCTTAGCATTTCGGGTTTCGGGGGGTTTGGGAAAAAAGGACGGAAACTACCAATGGGCACACGACTCATTTTGCCTCAGTAGTGAAAGAAACAAATGCATCCCAAGAGCGTTTCGAGAAAATGTAAGAACGAAGCCGTAAACCCTACCGGAAACGTTGCCCTAAATCCCAAACCCAGAAATCGCAGATCCTAAACCATAAATGGTACAGCCTAAACCGTAAACCCTAAACCACAGCTTCAAACCGAATCCAAGCTGCGCTGCAGGTCTCTTCATGGGTGCAGCCTGCTCGAAACATGTGCTCCAGGCCTAGTATGGAGACCTATAGGGGCTTTAAAACGTACTGTACCATAGAGTGTGTTATGGGAAGAGAGACCCAAACGACTACTCTTAGAGTTTTGGGGCTTTGTACTGTAAACATATCGGGGAAACCGAAGCAGCTGCATCACTGCATGTCTTTGTAGCAGCCCCCATCTTGCGCCGATCAGGGGCACCCTTGTCTCCTCCCTCTAGGCCCTATATGCCCTAAAACACCGAACCTTGAAACTCAAGTTATTCTACTTGGCCCTTGGGGGACTGTGGTCCTAAAGACCAAGCCATAGAAGCATTCCCACAGTGAGCTTTGCATCGACATTCGCCAGGCAAAGAAGTGGACAAGTACATCCCCCGCGCAATCCCTTGCAGCAATGTTTACCAGACGGCCACACGGGAGGCAAATAAGGCGCTACATTAGTGTTTCCTCATTAAGGGGCTGCTCCTGTCGGGACGATTCGTTCAAGGCCGACATGATTGAGCTCTCTGCCTTTTTCCGAGATCTCTCGAGCTATCTTTTCCCCAACGGAGATGGGAGTTTCTAAAACATGCATCGAGTTAATCCAAGCAGACACGTCGACAGCCCATTGAACACTCAAACCTCGACACTGTGCTTGCTTTTTTGTTGCATGCCGCATGTCTGAACATGTGATTGCGGTGACATCTTGGGCTGCTTGTAGAAATAGTCAAACTGACAGTGTCCGCAACCCTTAACCAAAACCAACGCCAAAAGTCCCAGAGCCCTACAGTAACTAAAGTTTAAAGCTCTAAACCTTACGTCCACAAACCCTTAAAAATCTTAAAGCCCAGACTGGTGGGCATCCCTGGTTTTGAGAAACTCCCACAGCCATCTTTGCAGCTGTGAACATTGGCATCCCTGCACATGGGTGTGACTCTAGATTGGTATCAGTGTCCTGGCCGGGTCTACTGCCATTCCTGTCAGAAGTCTCCATGCCAATCCTAAACTACAAACCCCACTTCAACCGAAAGCATCCTGAACCCTACACCCCAAGACCGTCAGCCCTAAAAATGCCCAGCACCTCCCAAACCCTAAGACACGGCATCCACGCTTGCAGGCCCTTTAAAAGTAATCAGATGCCAGCCTCCACGGACTGATTTGAAACCGCCGCAGGCACTGAGCTTTTTAAAGGATCCCCTAGTGTAGGGTTTAGGGTCTAGGGTTTAGGGTGTAGCGTGTAGGGTGTAAGGTGTAGGGTGTAGGGTTTAGGGTTTAGGGTTTAGGGTGTAGGGTTTCGGGTGTCTCACGCGAGGGCCTTATGATATTGAAATACCGGCTGTGAATCTCAAAGCTACTGCAGGTGCTCGCCTCAGTGGCCATATTTTTCTAGCCTAATATACGGGCTTTAATAATTACCTATATATATATATATTTATATATATATTGTTTTTGTTTGGGGGGGATCCTTACTACTATTGTTCTTATATATATATATATATATTATATATATATATATTGCTATTAAAACCGTTTATTCTAGTATAATGGGCCCCAGAACCCTATTCTAATTATTCTGGCCCCTGTTTTAGATCAACCACCAGACTCCAAGACGTCTAGGTCTTGTTCATGGGCGCCCCGAAGCTGCAAGCCGCTAAATCTTAAATCCCAAACACTGCTAGATAATGAAGGGCCCTTAACAATTAGAATAGGGGCTACTATACTATACTTATAATAAGGAGCTCCCTAAACTAGTATAGGTAATTACTAAGGCCCCGGGATTATGCGCAGCCACGTTGGGCTTCAGGGGCTGAGCGCCACGCGCTCTAAGGGCCTAAGATCCTTTAGTTTAGGATTTTGGTGAAGCCGGTCAGATGCCTTGCACAATTTATCCGAAAACCATTCTGCAACTTAATTTCTAATCTAGTGCAAGTAGTTAGTGGCCCATAAGCTCTATATGTATAGACTAATCTGACTAGTCCCCAACACCCGACATGTTCGTAAAGACTGCGATGCAGATCTGAAGGCTGTCCTGTCAAGGGCCTTCCTTAAGCCTTATAAAATCCTTCAAGAGCCCTTACAAAACCGTGTAGAGTGTCACAACACCTATCAAGCCCCTAAACCCCAAGCCCTAAACCCTAAACCAATAGCCAAACGTAAGCTGTGCTCTGTCAGTTCGATTTCAAGAACGCCGGAGGCGAGAGGAAACTGTAAACGTTGCCGTTGCCTCAGCGATGCACGGCTAATGCTTTCGGTTTAGAGTTCAAAATGTCGGGTCAAGGGTTTAGGGTTTAGGGAGTTCAAAATATAGGGTAGCAAGTAGCTCTACTGTATGGAGGATACTTGCACAAACCGCAATACTGATTCTAAACAGTGGAAACCCACTGCAGTGTACTATGCAGGTACGTAGGATCCTCTGAGCCGCAAACCAAGGTGAACCTTTACACATCACCGGCTGCCTGAAGCTGCTTGTGTCCTACCGTTAATAACAGAACCATCTCATGACACCGGAGCGACAGAAATCCTTACGGTCCTTTCAGACCATCAGCACGCTTTGGAAAGCTGTGGCGCAGAAAGGAAAGACTCGGAAGAAGGATGCTGCTCTCATACTACTGCCAAGAAACTGAAAGCCTCGCCAGCAAGACTGAAAATTTTACCATATATATAGCCCACAAATCAGTAGGCTATAATTAATAATTAGTAAGTATACCCCCCCCATAAGTATGCAGGCTTGGCGATCCCCCGGGTACCTTCCCCTGACCAAAGCAAAACCAAGCGGCTGTGCTGGCAAAGGCGAACGCGATGTTGGGCTTTTTGACGACGGCCGATCAGTTCGCAAACGTCCTGGGGCTGAGTGCTCCCAACCCGACGGCCCCTATACCATACATGGATGTGGAGTTGACTGAAGTTTATATACTAGGGGGTGGTATAGTAGTCCCTGTGCCTATGTTACAGCAATGTTGCAGATACGCGCTCCCATTTAGTTTCGAATATGGGATACCATACATGGCTTCTGCTATATAGCAAAAGAGCCATTGGTGGCACGTACGCCATTTCGGAAGATGGAGGCTTCTCTCTTCTTCAACAACCAGGCACAACAAGTTCAAACTTTTTAGGATAGCGGTTTAGGGTTTAGGCTTTAGGGTTTAGGGTTTTAGGGTTTAGGGATCGAATATATATAAGGCCTAAACGTCTAAAGTTCTCCCATTGGCTATCTGAGGCTTGGTAGACGGACTTGGAGCTGCAGCTGAAGAGGGTTCTCTGGGCTTTTCACCACGGAGGCCCAGGAGAAGCCATCATTTGGGCTTTGTAGGGTTTATAAACCCCTAAACCCTAAACCCTAGGGCTAAACCCTAAACCCTAAACCCCAGGGCTAAACCCTAAACCCTAAACCCTAGGGCTAAGAGGGGCAATGTGGCTTGAGGACTCAGGCTGCAGTCCCCTGCACACGAGATGCAGGTGCAACGGGAGGCTCATCCGGCAGGACTCGGACCCTAAACCCTAAACCCTAAACCCCTAAACCCTAAACCCTAGGGCTAAACCCTAAACCCTAAATCCTCAAGGTCCCGGATTTCGGCTCCCTAAAGGCTTTCGGGGCTGGCGTGCCTAACAGCTCTGAATATCACGGCCTCTATCCCACAGGCAGAGGCAGAGGCTATAGGGTTTAGGGTTTAGGGTTTAGGGTGTAGGCCGTACGTCCTGAACCCCTTTTGGGGAGTGCTCACTGAATCTCAACCAACTCCTGCAAGGGGGGGGGGGGGGCTTCCCCTTCTGCCGTCTAGGCATAGGTCAAAACGACAAGCAAAGCTGAGATCCAACACAGATCCAACACAAGGATGGCATGGCATTCGACGACGTGTATATATATATATATGTGTGTGTGTGTGTGTCAAAACGACAAGCAAAGCTGAGATCCAAAACAAGGATGGTATGGCATTCGGCGACGTGTGTGTGTGTGTGTGTGTGCGTGGTGCGTGTGTGTGTGTGTGTGTG